GACCAAATCTCCACTAACACCAGGTGGGATGGTGGTCATGCGCTAGCTTATAAAACATAAAAAAAAATCATTACTTAAGGAACAATTTTACAAAAATATTACGTTTATAAAAACAAACTTACCATAAATATCATCTTTGGCTAAAGCTTCTAAAACTCTTGATGCTCCGATCAAGTTTGACAGACCAGCGGAGAATGTTGCCAGCAACATACCTTTACATAAATATTTACTCCTATTTAATTCTATTTGAGGACGTCGGTGGCTTAGGGGTTGAAGCAGGTCCTTGGTTCGAATCCTGCCATGTACTAATGTGTTTTACATTTACATATATACATTTATCCAATATTACGGTGAAAGAAAGCATCGTGATGCTGCACATATCTGAGAAGATCAAAGATATGTGTGAAGTCAACCCGCACTTGACCAGCGTGGTTGACTATGGCCTAATCACCCTTAACTTAGAAGCTAGTGATGAATTAAATTTGTGTGCGTCAGGACTGCGCCTAATGTAGATCCGTGGTCTCTGCCTACCCCTTTGGGTTACGGGAGAGAGTTATATTGTTGTTATTAGTTAAATTTAATAGTCTGCAACTAAAACTTTTGTCGTAGTCTTTCTACACTTGACTACGATCCCAAGTTGATTTTTTTTTAAATTCTAACTCACCAACAGCAATAAACGGCGGCCACACATTAATAGGCAGTAAATAAACGTAATTATTCTGCAACAATTCTCTGGAGCAGGTGGCAGCAGACAGCAGCGTCAGTGCGGTGTAGCAGAGTGCTGTGAACAGCAGCGCCCATAGCGTGCCTGCTGGGATGCTGCGGGAAGGCTGCTTCAGCTCACCTATTGAACACAGGCATGAAGTTCTACTCTAACATTTACTTAAAGATAATTAAATTAATAGATCGGCCACACGCTTCGTAGAGATCCCAGTCATATACCCTGGAAGGCCCTGGAGTGGATCCCGCTTGGAACAAGAAGACGTGGCCGTCCTAAACAAACTTGGCGGTGATCAGTAGCTGCCGAAATGAAGGCTATTAGGCTGACATGGCCCGAGACCAAGCGCAGAGGCCAGGATAGAGCGAACTGGCGGCGCACTGTGGACGCCCTCTGCCCCACTGCGGGGACATAGGACTATAAGTCAAGTAAGTCAAAGTTCATCATTGATTCCTGACTTACTGGTGCACTCAGAGTTTAAATTAAATTTAAAATAATCAATTCTAAAATCAATCCTAGGAATATTCTATTTAATTAATATATAAATAAATCGAGCGCGCAAGCGATTAATGAACAATATAAATAAGCTCTCACCACTCATATTAGCTCCCGCCATGACACCAGTAACACCAGTAAACAGCACACCGAAGACAGAGGCGAAGTCAACTCTATCACCAGCAGTGGTGCTGTAGTCACGGCCGTAGGATGGATATATATTGCTGTACAGCGTCTCTTTAGACAGGCCGGTGTATTGAAACGATGTTGTGTTCACCAGCTCGTTCGTATCCGGTTTTTCTATCTGGATTTAGAAGAATTTAAGTCTGACTTACATAATATTATAAATGAAAATGTTTGTTACAATGTATCTCCAGTACGGTTGCACGAATCACGCTAAAATTTGGCATAGATGTAGAACATAGCCTGTCGCCACGAGGACGGATCACGGACGACAGCTAGTTACTAATTAATACACGGATGGTATACTTTCAAATTTTACATATTCCAATTCGCAAAATACCAAAAGACTTTGCCTTTAAAAAGGAGCATGTTATGCAACAATTCAACCCTTTGTCTACATTTTTACGAGATGGGTTATGAATAAGAAAAAAAAACAAAGTACCATACCATTCCGGGACTGGTGACAAAGAAGCTGATGAAGGCGCTGGCGAGACAGACAAGCACAGTGAACCAGATAGCGAGGCTGGTGCGGGCGAAGAGTGACGCGCCCGCAAGCGATACTGCCAGCCCGAGCGCGTTCAGCACCGACCGGTATAGGAAGCTGAACCACCAGCTTGTTGGCAGGCCACCGCTCGACCCGATCAGGTAGCCTTCAATTTACAAAAATCAATAAACCCGCCTGACTGATTGACTGTTATTCTGTATCTTGCTAATACTATAAATGGGAATGTTTGGATGGAAGTTTAGTAGAAGGTATCTCCAGAACCGTTAAACGGATATAGAAGAGATTTGGCACGGATGTAGAGTACAATCTGGAAGAACACATAGGCTACTTACTAAGGTAATTTAAACGCGGACAGAGTCGCGGCAGCTGGTTAGTCATTACAAACTCACCATTAGCTCCAAAGTTCTCTACCAATGCTTCAGTGCAGGCAGATATGCAAAGCGCACTGGACACCACGTTAGCGAAGAAGAATAGTGTCCCGATCGCGCCACCGAATTCTGGACCTAATGTTCTACTTATCATAACTGATTTTGGGTTCAGGCCTTTTATTATCCAAATTAATAAGTAGCATTTTAAACCTTTTAATTAAAATAACCATCTCTCATGGGAGCGTCGGTGGCTCAGTGGTCTAACGCTTGACTTGCAATCTGCAGGTCCTGGGTTCGAATCCCGCCATGTACCAATGTGTTTTTCGATTTCCGATTTACATATGTACATTTATCCGACGTTCTTACGGTGAAGGAAAACATCGTGATGCAACCTGCACATATCTGAGAAGAAATTCAAAGATATGTGTGAAGTCAACCAACCCGCAGTGGGCCAGCGTGGTTGACTATGGCCTAGTCACTCCTAACTTAGGGTAGGCTCCGAGCCCCTCGGTGGGGACGTATAGTGAGCTGATGATGAACCATCTCTATCTATGATAAAGTTAACTTGTAAAATAATAATTATTGTTTTAATATTAAATTCTTGTTAGAGACAAAAATAACTTGGTCTGAAACATCAATGTTACACTCCATCGTCTTGTAACATTTTGTGACAAGACCGCGCCAGATGCCCATAGTCTCTGCCTACCCATTTAGATTACGAGCTAAATATAAAAGGATACAATAGACACCTCCTCCTTCAACCGCTCCATTGGTTGATATCGCACATATAGATGTCACCGTGAAGATGACTATCAGATAAGCTAGTGCAAACTGACCTAATGTCACCAACAGACCTGCATTGCCCACCAGGTAACCTAAAGAAGAATTATTATTAGAACCTTTTTTCACTAGGCGATTTGACTCACAATTGTGCTAGGGCAAATGGTACATGAATAAGCTAGAATCCAAGGTACCGCGATGTATGTCTCGCTTATAGAGGTTTCACTAACTCGAGTTTCTCGCTTATAGAGGTCCGTTATGACCGGACAATGACTCTCGCTTATAAAGGTTTCTCGCTCATCCACGTTCGACTATTCGCATAGTGAAAGAAAGTTTTAGTTTTATATATTTTAGTGTTTTCTGTACACTTCGAAAAGTTTAATATCCCAATAAAGATAAGTAAATAACAAATTAGTCAACAATTCAAGAACAATATAACATTGTTGAGAATCATTTACTTCTACTATGTAACTGTTATCTATTAAAACCAAACAATATTCGTTTTTGTAAGAGCAAGATAAAAAAAAAATATTTTACACAACAATTTAAGTCATTGATAGGTGAATTTAGGTAATCATTTAATTTTTTTGTTACTCAGAGTCTCTGAAATGCTTTAAAGTGAATCTTAGTGAAAATTAATTTATTTCAAGTATTCTTAAGATGAAGGAAAACATTGTGATGCAATCTGTACATATCAGCAAAGAAATTCAATGATATATGTCAAGTCAACCAACCCATACTTGGCCAGCATGATTGACTATGGCCTAGACACCCTGTTAAGTTAGACTCCGAACCCATCAGTGGGGTCATATACTGAGCTTGTGATGAAGTATTTAGATTATTTCATATTAAATCTACAATTAAGTGCTTGCCTTAGTGACTACTTAACTATAAAGGTGGTAAATCCCACTTACCCATCCGTATGAAGACAAGAGCACTGAACATGGACAGTACGACAGGACAGAAGACACCTGCAAATGTCCCAACTTTCTTGACTCCTGGTGCCTCCGTCCTGAACTCACCAAATTCCACATATCCTGGAATATAATTTATATTTCTCAATGACAATGTTTATAAAATCAAATGTTCAATCTATGGTTAGACAAAAAATTTGTTGTCTTTGCTTTTTCAAAGAGAAAAAGAGTAATATTTCATGAACATGACAATCCATTTTTTAATTTATGTCTGCCCACAAATGCCCATTTGTTGAATCAATCTTTGAAACGGCTGTACCGATTTTGTTTTTACTTGGACGGAGAGGTAAGTGATGCTTGCAGACATAAGTAGATTTAAAGTTACTTAAAATAATATTTAATATAAATTTATCAATAAAAAAGTTTTAAAAAAAGTCTTTTCCATTTTATAATAATATGGATCTATGTAGTTTGTTTTAAATAAAATTATTATTATTTTAATCTGATATAATTCAATATTTTTTTTATATCATAAGGTGGCAAACACGCGGCCACCTGAAATCGCTGAAATAGCGAAGTGACCGTTGCCCATAGACGTACGCAATTGTATATGCGTTGCCTACCTTTAATCGACGGAGGAGAGGATGCACAGAAAGAAAATATTTTCCCTTCCCATGCATCCTCTCATCCGGTAAGTCCACTTCCACTTCCCATCCTTTCCTTATAAGAAAAAAGACTAAATTAGGCCTCCGGGATGCACACTCATCAGACAAAACGCGGAATAGCTTCCACTTGACGCCTGTATTCTGTATGGTCGTGGTATTTCACTGAGTGAGCTGGGACAAGTCGTGAGAAAATGTTAAAGCTCTACCACTGTTAAAATATTATATGTTTTTAGTTACACTATATAATATTATCGCACAAAAACTACACAAACAAACAACCTATAGTCTTCTCAGCCATGACTGTTCTTAATCACTGTCAAGTTCATACTGATTGTAATTGAGTGCAGTGCCTCAGAGACCTTGACGTACTACAAGTGCAATTATTACTTATTGTGTCAAGTTCACGATAATACGTAATTATAAACAAAGTATAAAACATATCATCATCTCTGTCTTTTACCTTTGACAAAAAAGAGATGACATGATATGTTTTAAACGGGGATTTTGGTCTCAAAAATACACTGTAAGTAAGACTTCTTAGGATCGCAATATTTTCTAGCTAATAGAGGCTTCTCTCTAACTCGAGTTTCTCGCTTATCATTTAAAGTACATGTATTATAAGATTCAAACTTTATGATGGCTCATAATTAGCTGAGAACACACAGTTAAGTGCCAGAGCCCATAAGTAAATGTGTTCTTACATAATCAAGAACTTGTATAAACTTTGAATAGCACTTTAATGTAGTTTAATTAATAGAATATCTATTGAATGCCATATTTTAAACATATTCTACTCTCACCTTCTCCTGGTGGTCTTGGAGGAGGTGATCTGCCAAACCTCATCCTGAGTTTATGCATGAGACCTGGCACTCGAGGACTGTTGATGCTCGGAGATAGTGGATCTAGTGTATCCGCCATGACCACTGGCTTCGTCACTGTGGAGACAGAAGCATATAGAATAAGAAATACATGATTTAATCCAATCTAGCAGTTGACAAAGAAAACTTAATTTGTAACTAATGGGTTCAGCGTCTATGCAAAATTTCAGCGAGATCCATGCAGCCATTATACAAATACCTTCTGTTAGGAAGAAAATCCGACACTGTGCCAGTGTACTGGCGGAACACTAGCCTTACTAGTTGACGTTTATGTCCCCTCACTAAACATTTTGACACTGGACTTTGTAATAAAAGCGCACCAAATGATTCTAACTAATAAATAATGTCTAAAACTTCTACCAAACATACATTCATCCATCTAAACATTTTCATTTATAATATTAGTAAGATCTATGTAGTAACTAAACTAAAAACTAATAACTCACTCAAAAATATATCTCCCATAACTAAACAACTGCTTTGTACAACTAATTCAATGTTACTGAGAGGAAATAATAACATAATTGAATTATATTACTTCCAACACTTCTCGTTAATGTAATACTAGCTGTCGCACGCGACTCCGTTCACGCAGAATTGAAAATACTATAATAAGTAGCCTATGTTTACTTCCAGACTATGTTCTACATCTATGAAAATTTTGAGCCATTCTGGAGATATCTTCAAACAAGCGTCCATCCGTCTAAACATTAATGTTTATAATATTAGTAAGATCTGATTTATTGCTGCTTTAATGATGAATAAATATAAATACAACATTTTTGATAGACTTTTATTTTAACTACATAATGGCTGTGTAAGCGACTTTTCATCCACTGTGTACTATCTCTGAGTGAGATGTATTTATCATATAACTGAATAACTCTGTCATGAAATATATTTTTATTTATTATAAATATAAAACATACTATTCATTTATTTTATCGATTAAAAAACAACTTAACCTGATTTATCACAGTAGTAGTTATGTAGAATCCAATTTTATTAGCTACTAGCTTGAAACACCAACCCCGCGAATTAAACATAAAGGATTAGTAGTCTATGTGTTCTTCCCAACTAAGTTTTACATCTATGCCAAATTTCACTGAAATCCATACAGCCGATCTGGTTCTTCTAACATCCATCCATCCATCCAAACATTCACATTTATAATATTAGTAAGTTAACAGTAATTATGAATTCTCTTTAAACCAGAGTATGTTTTATTTCATATGACCTAGTAATTAGGTAATTATATATCTATGTCATTATCTGCAGCTGGTATAATATGACTCAGATTCACATCCCAAATTTATACCTATATTTTGTAACATAATATACATAACAGTTTATATATTTGTATATGTTATCATTTGAAATAATGACTAAAAGAATAATGAATACTAATTAAGAATTTTTCTGCAAATATTATGGAATAATTTTGGAATGTTTCAGTGTAAGCTTTCATTCAAGATAATACAATAATCTTTACAGTAATTTTCCTCTACGGAAGCAGGGGGACGTAAATCAGGCTAATACGAGGATGGGAACAGGACTAAACCCTCCAGACATATCAATTTACTCTCACTAATGTACTCAATCACAATTGCCAAGAAATAACAATGCAGAAACAAATGTAGGAATGCTTAACATAATTTCCTCTTGCATAAGTAACACAGTTACATTGGCCTCCACATTCACGGTTAAGCGTTCTAACAATGAATAACAGAAATGCTAAATCGACAATATTATGCTTCCCCCTTTAGATATGCGTCAGGCATCCTGTTTATACACGCCTTTGTTATATGAAATTGATTAAACTCACCTTATAATAGGAAAATAATTTTTATCGTCACACAGAAAACAGACACAATTAATTTTTAGTCATAGTGTATCTTTGTTTTTGTTTGCAAAAAGTTTTGAAAACACCCAGAATGTATGTCAAGGAATTACCGAGATGACAATTCGACAAAAACAGTTCGGTTGACACTTGCTTGACAGTGACAAACCAACCACTGTTCCATAGATTATAGGTTTTTGTAGTCTATGATATGATCGTACAAATGCCTTTATGACCCAAGTCACAATACAACTTTTTATTTTCTTTTTATAAATAAATAAATTTGTGATAATTATACGATTCATTGAGACTCTGTTAAAGTACTCTTCAATTTTTCTTATATCATTTTTAAACGTTAAAAACGCTCCCATACAATACTTTTGAAGGAAGTAAATTCATCTCTGTCAAATAAAGTTTTGTCTTATGTGTTTTAACAAAGCAGGCAAACTAGAATATGTTTCAGCCACGAACAATGCAACAGCAACACCTTATGGTCTGTACATACAATTTGCAGCACATTACAAAGAAAATGGATAAAGAATTAAAACAAAGATTTACTTAGAAAACTTATTTATTTGAAATTACAAACATTGGTTGCCTTTTTTAATGTGGATTCTATACCACTATGTACATCAAAAAATGTTCTATTGTATTACAATGAGTGAAACTCACTGTTGATGTGTGTTCTTAGATCCTTTGACTTGACGATGGACACAGAGCTATATAAAAAAAAGGTGGTGTTTCAGGCGCAGGCCAATGGGCATGTACTATTAAACAGTGACTTTAGTTATGAGTTGAATAACTTATACTAACTTAATTAATTGGAATTATATTAGCACTATATTCTATCTAGTGATTCTAACATTATGATGCTGTTCCCTCTGATGACCTGAAACATTAAAAAAAATATATTTCATTACATTTTATTTGAGTTTCATGCCTCTAATTTTTTTTTGTATAATATGAATTTGCTAGGTGTCTTTTTTAATACTATAAGGCAAACAATAACCGGCCACCTCTAGCTGTCAAAATAGGACAGTGACCGCAGCCCAGATGCATTTCCTACCTTTAAGCAATAAAGAAGGGAACAACAAAGAAGACAAATGCCCCACCCAAGCATCGCCTCTGTCAAATAAATGTCCCATTCCGATACTTTCCTCATAAGAAAAGTGTGGGACGGGAAAGAAGACTAAAATTAGACCTCCAGCACTTATAAGATGATAAACTAATTAGTTCAACTTCTGTTGCGTTTAGAATATGGATATTATTATAGAGGCGAAGATCCACTATGGATTGCTATACCAATGTAGTATTATTATAGAATCATTAGGCTATTTAATTCACACAAATACATACGGCCTCGTGAAGTAGTCCTTAGAATGACAAATGGGAAGACACAATTTGCGCTTATCTTTTTCCTATGGGTCTATCTAAATAATAAAAAGATCTTCCTGTGTTATATCAATAAAAAGTTATTTTAATACTCATTTTTGTGTACTTACAACCATTCCAATATTATTCCTTTGTCCATCCTTACATTCTTCTACGGACTCGTCTAAAACCAGGTTCATGAATGGATCGAATCCTCGAAGGACACCAGTCACTGCTCGGCCTGCGTTTAACTTTATAGACAACTTTTTGTCCATGAACCTAAAAGAAAACATAAAACAAAAACCAATGATAATTTATACTAACGAAAAGATTTTAATAATCGTTAGTTACATATACTTAGACGAGCAAATCACATCAATTTGAAGGTTAGTTTCGTGAGTTTGTACCGCCAATTTAATAACAATATTATTTTTAAAAGTTTGCTTACTTCTTTAATTCTGGAGGGTGAGCCTTCGACATTTTAAATTATTAAATGAGTTTAGTTAATATGTTATTGAAATAAAAGTATGAAACTAAAACAAGACGCTTCGGTACCGGTAGTAAATGGTAGTAAAGAGTAAAAAAGCTAAGAGCTGCCAACACCATAACCCAAACAGCATCTAACCACCCAAGAAAAAAAAATGATTACAAGTGAGTTTTTGAACATACATTTACTGTTATTACATTTAATTCTAAATAAAAACATTACTTGACTGTCTTTTTTAAAAATTGCCAAGTCTATTCAATATTTCGGCAATGACAAAAGTTATTAGTAATCTTAGATTTGAGAAATTTTACGGGAAAAAATGCCCAGTTGTCGAAACTAATTTAGTTTTTGAACGTATATTATTTCAGGTGCTTTCAGTGTTACCATGTCAAATTAAATTTGAACGATAGGTTTTGCGTAAATACTTAAAAAAATATCGTAATATATTCTCAACAAGGCTAAATTGTATCTCTTGTTATTCATTAATCATTGAAGTGCAAAAAAGACCTATTCGTTACGGAAAAAGGCGTGATTTTTAAAATTTTCAAGAATTACCATTGTAAAAAACTAAACTCCGATAAAGCGGCAATATTAGATAGTACATTACTGCCATCTGTTGCTGAAGCGAATGAATCATATGTAATTTAGTAGCATAATCAATACTAATATGAGAAACGTATGTCTATGCTAGCAATCAACAATAGCAACAAGTAGACAGCTGGGAGGATGGATGCCGTTAAGATACCCATCCTTTTCTCATATAAACAGCCACGTTTTGTTTTCTAAATATGGATCTCTAATATTTTTATTTAACATACGATAACAGTGGAACAGTTTGTGTTTGTGCATTTGGAATAAAATGGATGAATCCGGTATCGATATGGGATTCGATCTTGCCTCCTTCTTGTCAAATGACTATCATGCTGACCACATCTTGGATGAGATGACAGCTGCACAGCATCAGGACTTCATGTACTACGAGCTAAAGTCTAAGGCGGTGCCAGTGACAGAAAGGTGAGTGGTGGCTTCACTTAGCACGTGATAAAAGTTTTAACATGATTTATAACGAATATTTTTAGCACATATTTACGTACGAGGAACAATTTCACCAAAGCCGAAGCGCTCGCGACCCTGAAAACTTGACTTGGCAAAGCCCCCAGATTTGCTATGTTTACTTCCATTCTTCGTACGAAATATTTTGCGTGCATTCCTATGTCTGGTTTTTAGGTAAGCGAAATCACTTTCTCATTTCGTTTGGATTTTTACATAATAATATTTAAACATAACCTAGTGCACACAATTTGTTTTTTTTTTATTTCACACGACATCAAAAAAAACGAAATAAGAAATTTCCCGCCTAAATTTAAACGACTTATTAATGTCATTTTCTTCGAACTAAACAATATCGGATGATTTGTTTAACAATAGCTGGAATACGTTTGATGCGAAGAAGATTTGTTGATATTGTAGAATAATACGACTTTCAAAATTGACCCCGTTTTATTTATTTGAAAGCGGCGCGTGTGGAATCCGGTAGGAATACCTTTAAACGTAGTGATTTACATGCACTAAACATAGACCTAGCCTTACCAACTAACACGGAACATTCGTTAAAAAAAATAGAATTTATTCTTAGTTCCTTATTTTGTTTCTTTTTTGACAAACCTGTTTTGATATTTACTGCTTGAATTTTATCATATAAAACATTTTTTTAAATCTTAAATTATGGCCTTCGCGACAAAAAAAAACTGGCGGATGCGTAAGAATCACATATTGTCAGTAGACTTCGAAAAGACATACAATAGTAACTGAAAGTAAAAAATGACATGGGAACTGTACTGTGCCAGTATACTGGCTTACATTATGCCAGTACAGTAGGATAGTCTCAAAGTGCCAGTGAGCCTATACAATCCCAGGCCAGCACTACTGACTTACTGCTGGCAATATCAGAAAATAAATCGCAACTATAATTCGATGTTTACCAAAAGGTCGATGACCTTTACGTATATGTTATATAATTTGTCAATAATTCGTCAACGTAATGATGTTATCATATAATAATTTTGTAAAGATACTAGCTATCTTAATATATTGATATATCACGATACGGATATACAATATATTTTATTTAAAAACAAACAAATTACGTAAACAAAACAATTGTCTGTCATGTTCAGTTTGTCTTTATTGGTTACTTGAACACTATGATAGTTTCCAATCCGGTAACAATAACGAAGTAACATCTCGAGCCGAGGCTCCTGGGGGAGCCCTCGAGTCTTGTGACTCTTAAACGAGGTTCAGGCTAAGCGCCATCTGCGCTCGGCCACGTCAAGCCCGGTGAAGCTGTAAATGCCTCTTCAAATCAAACAGTGACTACTCAGTCACAAAAAAGCTATGATGGCTTTCTCTTAAAAATTTAGATAAAGAACTTTTTTTTAATTATTAAACCAATTATATAAATATACTCGCTGCCGCCCGCGACTCCGTCCGCGTGTTTTCTAAGAAATAAAATAAAAATTTGGGGTGGACTACCCTTAACATTTAGGGGGATGAAAAATAGATGTTGGCCGATTCTCAGACCTACTCAATATGCTCACAAAATTTCATGAGAATCGGTCAAGCCGTTTCGGAGGAGTATGGGAACGAAAATTGTGACACGAGAATTTTATATATGAGATAAATAACGCTATTTAAACAGTCTGTGCACATCGACAAACCTAAAATCCATAAGATCCGTCTACCCATGTGGCAGGGTGTTTCTCTTTGGGACAATCGGCCTGGGGTTCGATCTACTCAAGGGGGAAAAGTTCTTATTGGGCCACTTGTTACGTATACGTTTGTCTTACTCTCGCATAACGTAGCTACTAGCTGTTGCCTCCGTTCGCGCGGAATTAAAAAACCTTATTAGTAGCCTATGTGTTCATCCAGACTACGTCCTACATCCATGTCAAATGTCATTAGGATCTTTTCAGAAGTTTTGGAGGTAGAAGGTACCTTCTAACAAACATCCATCTATCTAAACTTTCGCATTTATTTTTAGTAAGATAAGACACTAATGCACGACAGTTCAGGTAGCAAGACTAGTGTCTAGACTTTCTAAATACTAGTAATTCTGGTTTGCGTTGTACATGATTTTTATTTTTTTTTATTTATAACAAACAAATGTCTGTGTATTTACTCTGTGGCAGGTCAATTAACAATTGTGATGCGTGAACTGGCTGGAATTGCGTTCGTTGTTTGCCAATTGTTTTTTTTTAATACATATGTTACCGGCATATCGTTTACGCTGCCAGTTTGAAACTTTCGCTGGCAAATCATAAAAAACCGGCAAATATATCGAAGTAATTCATTCACAAAGTTATATTTTAGTCACGTAGTCGTTACTTTATTTTTTTTTTCATAATACATAATTCACTAGTATTTTAAGAATGCATGCAGTCTTATGCTATAAAGAATAGTATGAGCCAAATTATTTTTTTTTACATTTTACCTGTGAAATGATTAAAAATCATAATTATGAATTGCTACGTAAAAACTAAAGGGGGGGGGGATCTTGGCATGTACTACGAGTAGTCACCGAGGGGAGGGAGGGGTCGGAAAAACTAAAAAAATAAGTCAAGTTGTATGAGTATGTTCCCTTATGATTTTGAATGTAGCGCCATGTTGAGTTTCGAAAGTCGCACTAATAAAATTTTATAAATCGCAATATGAAATATGATATCACCAAATAATTTATCAAGATATTTATTTCATCTAACAAGAACTTCTTTATATGTTTAAACAATTGTTATAATTGTTTAAGGCGATATGAGTTATGTTTGACTTACGTTCATTACGCAGAGATAAGGCGACCATTACTGTACGATGTACCCCATTACTGATTTAATTGAAGAATGTCTCAGCTCATATTATTGGCCCTTACTTTATATGTATTATAAATATGTCCATTCTATTTATTTGGTATTTTAAAATCTTGAAGACAGGCGTCAAGTGGAAGTAATTCCGCGTTTCGTCTGATGAGTGTGTGTCCCGGAGGCCTAATTCAGTCCTCTTTCCCTTCCCACACTTTTTCTTATAAGGAAAGTATGGGAAGTGGAAGTGGACCTTCCGGATGAGAGGCTGCATGGGAAGGGAAAATATTTTCTTTCTGTGCAACCTCTCCTCCGTCGATTAAAAGTAGGCAATGCATATGCAATTGCGTATGTCTATGGACAACGGTCACTTCGCTACTTCAGCGATTTCAGGTGGCCGCTCGCTCTTTTGCCACCTTATGATATAAAAAAATCTTTACTAATATAAATGCGAATGTTAAGATGTTTGTTACAAGGTATCTCCGGAACGGCTGATTGGATCTCGCTGAAATTTGGCATACATGAACACAGGCTGGAAGAACGCATAGGCTACTAATTAAGTTTTTTTTTAATTCTCGCGGACGTAGTCGCGGGCGACAGCTAGTATTATAACAGACCTGATTCAAAAGTACTAAAAATTACTATAAATTTATTCATTGACGTTAAAATAATTAAAGCAAACAAAATTGTTATGTCTTACATCCGTCTAATCAAACCCGCTATGATACAAATTAAACCTTATATCGTCTGAATAAGATTCATAATCCTATAAAATGCAGTTTTTAATTTTCCACTATTTGCAAATTTTCGCACATCACTTGTTTATTGTGCGTTTTCAATGACTTTTTTTTGGATTTTACTATCTGTAATTTTGATAAAGAAGACTTTAACAAGACAAAGAAATCGTTATACCGATAAGGACTTGTCTATATCATCGTTAACAAATCTTACTAATATTATAAATGCGAATGTTTAGATGGATGGATGTATGAAAGTATCTCCAGAATGGCTCAACGGATTTGCTGAAATTTGGCACATATATAGAATAAGTCTTAAAGAATATAAAGGCTACTTCTTATGTTTTTTTTTAATTCCGCGAGGATGGAGTCGTAGGCGACCGCTAGTATATTATAAATGCGAATGTTTACATGGATGGATGTTTGAAGGTATCTACTGAACGGATCTCGATAAAATTAGGCACAAAATAGAACATAGTCTGGAAGAACACATAGGCTACTTATTATGTTTTTTTTTAATTTATCGTGGAATGAGTCGTGGGCGACCGCTAGGAGATCATAAACGTAACAAAAGAATGAAAAATGGAATACATTTTTTTTTAATATTTTGACAGTTGACAGATTTCTGTTGACGCTAGCGCCACCTACATGTACTTTCAGTTTTTCACCCAATTACCAAATAACGTCTCGCAATGTAAATGTGCCCATCATGCAGTCTTGTAAGTAAATATTTACAACACCTGTACATAAATACAATATTTACATTACATCTGAGCAGATAATAGGTTATCTGTAAACTTCCTTTGATAAAATAATTCTTTATTTCACTTTAAATGTGTCTAGTAACGTGACTGCGTTTCGTAATGTTTGCTAACAAACCACGCGGTTGACTGTTTCCACTGCCGATACACGTACATTGTATTTCAAGAATGACAGTGTTTTATTATTTACGATGTATTTCAAATTATGATATATGATTGTTTTTTATTTATAATTCGTAACTTAATATGAATGCGAATGTTTGGATGGATGTTTGTTAGATGGTATCTCTAGAACTGCTGCATGGATCTCGCTGAAAGTCATAGATGTAGAACATAGTCTGAAAGAGCACAAAGGCTACTAATTAAGTTTGTTTTTAATAGCGACTATTTTTTTTAAAGTGAACAAACTGACTACACTACAATAACATTGGCTGACTAGAAGAAAATTAAAATAAAAAGAAATTTGGAGTAAGATTTTGACAAGCGCGCTTTTTTTTCTTTTTTTTATTATCTACTAATGGTTACAGATGGCCATGATCTGATAATCATAATACTACGGAGGTTAGTTAAAAATGAACTGTAGATATAAAGGTATTGATTTGAAGAACGGAACATATTCGATGTTCGCAATAGGTAGCGAGACACGCGGTCCGCGCGTGGCGTAT